ATCTTTATGATCATTATTGCTATTACTATAATTCTTACTACTATTATTGTTCTTGTTATTATTATCATTATTATTATTATTACTATTAGTTGTGTTGTTTTTTTCTATGTACACATATAGCTGTTTTTACGTCCCCATCTACACAATTTAGATCATTTAGGAGGCGAACTGTGACCCTGCCTGTCAGGGCCAGTTTGGGCTGAGAGAGATACAATATCCCAGCAGAATGACCACACTCGATGAAATTTTATTCACTTCGCTCGACAATCGAACTCGGGTCTGATGCGTGCGATGGCGACGAAGCGCTTAAACCCCAGTCAACCAGGTTTGAGTGGGACCGAGGTTTTGTAGCCTCGAGTGGGACGCAGTGTGTGCAGCAGAAAGATCAAGATGTTTGATAATAAACGGGAGTTGAGCTCACAGCGGTGGAAAAGCGCAACACGTACACTACAAGCACTCTTTGTAAATTATTTGAATTGGAGAGTTGAAATATCAATTAAACATGATCTTTACAATGTTATTAATCATAACAATCTTTACATTGTTGGCAATTATTAGAGTCGTCACAATCTTCACTATCCCCACAGTCTTTTACACTCCTTACAATCGTTACATATTCTGCAATCTTCACAATCATTGTAGGTGGTGTCGGTAGCCTGGGGATCAGGCTACGGGACCCGTAATCGTGAGATTGCGGGGTAGGGGTTCAAGCCTCAGCTCGGTCCGACGTTGTGTCCTTGGGAAAGGCATTTAACACGAATTTCCCACTTGGCTCGGCCCTTTCGGAGATGGACGTTAAACTCGTAGGTCCCACCTCCTAAATAACCTAATAGTGTTGAAAGTGGCGTTAAATCTATGCCATCTTCACAATCGTCCACTCTTCGACAAGCATGTGTCGGTGACACGGGGTTTAACTGGGTGGTCACTGGGGGTGTGTCCTTGAGCAAGACACGACAACCTTAGCTCAAAATACAGGGCGCTAGACAGTGGCAACTGGCAATGGCATGGTTGTAAATTGTTCTGTACTGGTATGTATTTCTGCATGTATTTATGTACGTATGTATTCATAATTATGTATGTATGTATGTATGTATGTATGTATGTATGTATGTATGTATGTATGTATGTATGTATGTATGTATGTATGTATGTATGTATGTATGTTTGC